ACAAGTACATCTGTAATAAATTTCTGGAACTAGTATACAGAGAAGTTTAAATGCATTGGTCTTTTCCTAGAAATTGCCAATTTTTCTTCTACGAGGGTTGTGTCATTTTGCACTTCCACCACAGATGCATCTCAGATGTATCCTAGGAAAACCTAATCCTCTCGTTTGGCCTCTAAGATAATTTGTTCATAAGGCAATTGCCAACGATGTTCTAATTGCAAAAAACCACAGAAAGCTCTTTGTTTGTTTTACCCCTAATGCAGAATTAAAATCCGTTCACCTAAATTAAAACAAAGGAATTTTCAAATTAAAAAAAAAAAAAAACACCTCACTGACATAAGAAATCATCATATTGATGCCTAATGTACTGGGATAGAAACTATCTATCTTTCTTCCCAATTATCTCCTGTCATCTAAAAACAAATATACTCTCCCATTCCAGTTTTTTTTTTTTAAATTAACATTTAGTGGTTTATAATTGGGTAAGCAGTCAAATGCATTTCACTTTGAAACGAATGTTTTCCTAAGGCATTTAAGTTTTCATGAAACCAAATCCATGTGACTTCTACATTGTCCTTTAAAAAGCTATAATTTCAAAGGTGGTTTAATTTTTATGACTGCCATTTTCAAATGGCAGTGTCAACTAATACACTGTTTTTATTTCAATGTCCATCCTATCAAATATTTTATAATTAGAAAATGCCCACTTAGACCCACTGGACTTCCCATTTGAAGGAGTCCTTAAGCAAATTGTTTCAATATTACTGTTTTATAAGAAAATGTGTACACGATAATTTTAATCCCCCAAATAAGGACACACCGGTATTTGTAATCTATGTTGCATTTCAATTGTTCAGAAATCAGCCATCAGGTTATCTCAGAACTCCGAAACAAAGTGGCGAATCTAGTTGATGAACCCAAAATAAATTTTAAAAAGCTGCCACACCTTCTGTGCCCTTAGTCAGTAGATGGCAGAACCATACTTAAGCTCTTACCCAAACAATGTTGATTTTAACATTAGAGTCAATATAATGAACAGAAAGCCAAGAAACAAGAATTACCTAACAAAGGTAAAACAAAACATCACACATCACAAGTAGCACATGGGACATAAAAGCCTATCAGTCTAGGACAATTTAGGAGAACAGTCCTATGCAGCAAAAGTCTCTAGGGAAATCACATAAATTCTGTGAAGTGACTGATGTTTACAATGACAATTCTGAGCCATAAAAACAAACAAACAAACAAACCCTTAAATTATACTCCATTTGTACTGTTTAAGAAAACAGATGGGTAAACTTTAAATTTTAGAAACATTATGTAAAAATGTTCATACAAAAAAATTTTGGCACATAAAAGGATAAGATTCATTTATCTACAAAACAAACAGATGAGAAATATACTATTTGTTAATAATAGCCTAAGGAATGAGGGATTGCTCAAAATAAAATTCTCAAAATTAGGATATACTATAGCTGTCTTTTAGAAAATGATCTATGATAAAGTGTGGTAACATTTTGGGGGCTTCAAACATGGAACTCTCTAGGCTAAGCCAATTCTTGGTGAATAGTCAAAAGAACATCTGATGATTTCTGAAAGCTAGTCAGGCAAATTTTCCACTTAAATGGCTGTACACACTCAAGAAGATATCCTGATTTCACTTTTTAGTTTGTTTTAAGTTGTGACTGCCAAGTAGACAGGTTGATCTGGTTTCTAGCTCCAACTTGCTACATGACTTTGTCCATGTGACTCAATCTCTCTAGTCTTCCTTAGTTTCTTCTTCAGTAAAGTGAAGAAGTTATACAAAATATGACACGATAGTTAACAGACTGAATGCACTAATAAAGTAAACCAAAGAGCTACTACCTTAAGTCTTAAATCTATTTCTTTACTATGTCTAAACATCTATATGTATACTATTTTGATACCATCACAAACTATATGCCACTTTACTGTACATCTAAGGCCTAGAGTAAAAGAAATTATAATCATTTCAGAATCTTTTCCAATGTTTATTATGTGTTACTCTCAGAATATAATAAATTTCTCATGTAATCATTTAAATTAATTTAAAATGCCATATAGTCAATTATCTTTAACCTGAAAATATATGACTTTTCCACTTCACACCGATAAAAAAACAACATATATGTAAAAGAACGCTCGTGGCAATGTCATTTATAATAGCCAAACACTATCCACCAACAACAGCATGAATGAATCCTGTCATAGTCATTCCAAAGGAATAATATATAATAATGAAAAGGAATGAATATTACATGCAACTATATAGATGATCTCCAAATTGTAATGCTAAGTAAAGGAAAAAAAAAATGCATATGATTTCAGACAATGGTGCTTACCAACTGACCCACCCATATCCCATGCTGCCTGGGACCCCACTGAACACCCCACAGCCATTCCAGCATCATATGGTAGCAGGTAAGCACCAACCTGAAGGAAAGCACGAAGGCAGTCATAGTCACCAGTCTTAGGTAAGTATCTAATATGAGCTCTGAGTTTGGTCATAGGGTCCGGATCTCAGCTCCACTACCCCCAGCCACCTTTCTTTCTCTGTGATCAAAGGTGCCAGCTGCCAAGAACTGCTAGACAAGGTGATAGAGACCCTACAGCTGACAGGAATGCTAACACAGGTGCTAGAGGAGGATGGGACCTCCATGGAGAGCAAGGACTTCTTCCAGCTGCTGGAAGAAGACACAGGCCTGATGGTGCTGGAGTTTGGGGAAAGCTGGACCCCAGCAGAAATGGGTACTGTCATATGGGCTGGGCCAGAAGAACCCCAAGCACAGAAAGGACATCACCCTCATCACTTTCGGTGTATACAAGCAAAACCCTTGGGACTTCTTTGGCAGCCCGACATCAAAGCCACATTCTACAGGCTCTACTCCACAAGCTGACTCTAAAGGACTTGGCCCAAAGAAAGTACTCAGGGAGCTCCTTCAGTTGGACCTCCATGTTGTCACAAGGCCTGGGCCACATGTTGCTGGGAATTTCCTCCATCATTCACCATTCAGTAGAGGAGGCTAAGCAGTGGCAGCAGCAGCAACAGGGTGGCCTCCATCCCTGCTGAGAAGGAGCTCTGAGCTTCTGCTCCTAAACTTGTCCCAAGAAACACAACGTGTGCACTGTGACAGTATCAGGTTTGGGGTCCTGCAAACAGTGCACACTAGATAACTCACCTGTTTTCCCTCAAAGTCTCTGACCATATTGTGATAGGACCCATCAGCATTAATACCTTCCACCCCTAGCCTATACCCTTTCCTGAAGAATGCTGTCCCTTCCTAGCCATCTTTCCAGCCTCTCACTTACCATGAAAGGCCAAAGCCTGTCCCCAGGCATCCTGATCCCACTCTAATTGCTGCTACATCTAAATTTCTTAGAACCCCTCCTGTCCCTCAGCTCCCCAGTACACTAGAGCGAGTCCTCTTTGACTTTACATTGAGATCTCTAATTCTTTATACCCTTCTCCTCCTAAATAACAAAAACATTTCCAATAAAAATATTAAATTGGTTACAAAAAATATGTGATTCCATAATGATTAAAAAGAGACAAAAAGTAAACATACTGCTGAGAAATACAGATAGAAATGATAAAAATTATAGAGAGAATATGTAAATAATTACCATGAAAATCAGGACATCGGTTACCTCTAAAGAAAAGGAAGATTACATTAAGAGTTTCTGGCCTGCCAGGAATGATCTACAATTACATGGTTGCCTGCTTTATATTTATTCTTTTTACTATACATTTATGTTTCTATATGATGGTATGTTTTATAATAAAAGGTTTAAAATGGTATATTTTCTGAAATAATATATTCTTATGGAGAAGGAAAAGTGTTCACGTTTTTTGCTAACAATTTTATTTTCTTGGTCTACATTTCTAATTTTTATTGCAATATTTTAATAATAAACAAGTAAGTTACTATGCCTAATTCTCCACAACCCTAATTAAGAATAGATTTCATAGGCTTTCCCAATGGCTACAAAAAAAGTCCCAGCCCCTTAAAGAGCATTAGTTATCCTATTAAATCTTTGCTTAGCTCAATGTTGTTTCTGTTACTTCTTTTCAATGAAATGTATGCTTACTTTAAAAAACATATACATTACATCCAAGTAATAATTTTATACAGGCTGCACTCCAAAAAAATCATATTTTATTTAGCTCATGGGTAGGAAGAAAAACACTCTTAACTGTCACACATTTTATATGGCTCCAATTTTGGGAGTCTGTGTATGCATACAGTGTGAGGATTTATGATAGGAAGGACATAGACATGACACTTGAGGTCCAACCCAATGTCACTCTGTGTAAGGCAAGTATGGTTCCCTGTGTGTACTAGAAAACATGGTAGCTGGATTATAGGATGGATATACAAAGCAAGTTACACTTAAAGTCTACTGTACAAAGTGTAACATAGGAAGACTCATTCAAAAATAGATCCAATAATGCCTAATTTAAATTATACTGGAGCGATTTTAAATATTTCCTTTGGAAAAACAAAAAATACAGGGAATTAAAATTATTACAAAAAAAGATAATAATGAAAAGAATAAAAATAAACTGACTTCATTTATAAACATTATATACACACAATTTAGGAAATCCTAAAAGGTCCATCATCTACAAGCATCTTTCGATGTATGTTTGTTATAACTTTTAGATGCCACTCAACAAGTGGACAATGAAATTTAGAAACAAGACTACCAGCCCCTTCATCATACTCCAGATATCAACACAATCACGATGGTATCACCCATTTTAATACAGTTGCTTTTGTTGCATATTGTTGTTTTTCTATGAATGCAGCCAAGGAGTTCCTTCTTCAGTGGGTCCAGCTAACCAGTTATTTGCCCATCTATTAAGTGCCAACTTTAAAAAATTACAGTGTCCAGCAGGGAGCAGCATTACAACATTCACAAGACTTAACTTGAACATGAACCGGACAGAAGAAAAAGGGGAAAAAAGAACTACTTACCATAGGTCTGTTCTACAATACATTCAATTTTTAGGGCAGGTGTAAGGCTTCCAGAAAAAAAAAAAAAAAAAAAAAAAAAAAAAAAAAAAAAACACTTAAAGCATGTTCTCAAAGTATATATGGGTGATCCACGATTTCAGAATTCCTAAAGCAGGAAATAAAAATTATATTAGGTAAAGGATTCCCCCAGCCACGTTATGTAAAATTAGTATATGACTAAATGTCTCTCGTTTTTTTTTTTAAATTTTTTTTTCAACGTTTTTTATTTATTTTTGGGACAGAGAGAGACAGAGCATGAATGGGGGAGGGGCAGAGAGAGAGGGAGACACAGAATCGGAAACAGGCTCCAGGCTCTGAGCCATCAGCCCAGAGCCCGACGCGGGGCTCGAACTCCCGGACCGCGAGATCGTGACCTGGCTGAAGTCGGACGCTTAACCGACTGCGCCACCCAGGCGCCCCTAAATGTCTCTCGTTTTTAAGGTACATATTCCTCTTAGTGGTTCAATGGGATTCTGAATTCAAATATATGATATACTTTGGATAAAATGATTAAAAAAGACCCAGAATATTGAAGTCCTTTATCCACTAGAAAATTTAAGCAGAAGAAAGTGGATGACATGATATATTAAACCAGAGAGAACAGTGGTCAAGGACTTAAAAGGGTTGACAACAGTTGATATACAATTCTAATATATCAAACTCTAAAGAATTGGCAAGTAACAGGATATAAGATTCATTTCTACATGCCAGCATGAATATCTGAGGTTAATTTTACCGATGAAAAGGCAGCAGAGAAGTAGTGTATAATGTGGATATGTTAAAACTGATTATTCAAATATTTACTGAATACAAGCAATGCACGTGATAATTGCAGAAAAACTCTGTGACCAGTTAAAAATTTAGTGACAAATGAAAAACATACTATGTTTGATACTGTCTTGGATGCCAAATCTGCCTAACAGCCAACTAAAATAGTTCCATGTCAGTTCTTATGACTGGAAAAAAAAAGGGGGGATTTTCCCATTATAAAATGAACTTTCAGTTATAAAATAAGTAAGTCATGGGGATATAATATACAGTGTGGTCAATAATATCGTAATAACTTTGGTGACAGATAATAACTACACTTATCATTTCACAGTACATAAGAATATCAAATAGGTATGATATACACCTGAAACTGTATGTCAATCATACTTCAAAATGAAGTTTTAACTCCATTTTTATTTGAGATGTTAAAGTTTGCTTCATATGTGCTCACATGCAACAATTCAGTGTCTATGCTGAAATACAAATTTTTCCCATTGAAAGAAGATAACATGAATATTCATCTTGGAATATATATAATTTTATATAATTTATGTAATACTATCACATATCAATGTAATACTAATAAATAACATGTATTCAAAATTTAGCAAGTAATATATAAAATGGTTTCTACTATTTTCTTCTGGCAAAATAACATGAAAACCTTAAGTATATGATATTAAGACTACAGTGACTCTCTAATAATTATTATTTTAATGAAGCCAAAAGAAACTGATAGATTTTTATTAATCTTCTACACTTTACTATTAAGCTATTCATGGCATTATTCCTTATATTTTGCCCTCCTTACAGTCTTTCTCTTATCCTATATCTTGCCTTTGCTTTCATACATTTCATTTTGGGGGCACCTGGGTGGCTCAGTCGGTTAAGTGTCCGACTTCAGCTCAGGTCATGATCTCGCAGTTGACGAGTTTGAGCCCCACGTCGGGCTCTGGTCTGACAGCTCAGAGCCTGGAGCCTGCTTCGGATTCTGTGTCTCCCTCTCTCTCTGCCCCTCCACCGCTCATGCTCTATGTCTCAAAAATAAATATAAACATTAAGAAAAAATTTATTCATTTCATTTTTTGTGATATTTCCTTATTCCTACCAGTCCATCTTCTCTCTCTTTTCTAATACATTTCTGTTTCAATCTCAATTATTGTTTTGTCAAACTCCTCTCTTTATGACCCTACCAACTTTTTCCCTTTTATGTTAGGACACTTAAAAGTGAGTTTTTTCGGGGCGCCTGGGTGGCGCAGTCGGTTAAGCGTCCGACTTCAGCCAGGTCACGATCTCGCGGTCCGTGAGTTCGAGCCCCGCTCGGGCTCTGGGCTGATGGCTCGGAGCCTGGAGCCTGTTTCCGATTCTGTGTCTCCCTCTCTCTCTGCCCCTCCCCCGTTCATGCTCTGTCTCTCTCTGTCCCAAAAATAAATAAACGTTGAAAAAAAAAAATTTAAAAAAAAAAAGTGAGTTTTTTCTGCAACAATCTGCTTAAATTATACTCTTACACCCTTTTATAGGCACTGTCCTTGATTTTAACAATATAACCCGATTGGAAACTCCATAAAATTATACTGTTGCTACTTATAGAAATATTTTTCCTCTGATTTATTTAAATATTTGAAGAATTCACTAAACATTTGGGAGTCAATCTCGAAACTGTGAAAAATGTCAAGGACATTTAATCTCACGCACTCATTCCAATCAATGAGACCTCCACTATTCTAATAAAGAGGGGATTTAGGATGTTACTACATTAGTATGAACAGATACTGAGTAATAAACTTTTGTAAGTCAACAGAATTTTAGTGCTTTTTATTCATGTGTGTGCATGCACATGTGCATAATATCCTCATTAAAAAGCAAAGATACATGAAATAAACCCTTACTTCTAATATATATCGTCAAGTCTGAAAAGAATGATTTCCCCATTCAGCACTAATATGAGTATTAACATTAATGGTATTAGTACATTAAAAAATAATTTCATAATATCATAAATGTTGGTTTTTAAAATTATAATTAGATTATATAACACATTTATAATATAATTACCTAAAATGAGACCACAGTGTGTCGAATAGTGTTCCTCCCTCCGCCCTAAATTCACGTCTACCAATAATCTTAGAATGTGACCTTACTGGGATGTAGGGTCTCTGTGCATATAACTAAGGTAAGGATCAATATGAGGTCATTCTAGATTAGGGTAGGCCCTAACTCCAATGTGAATGTTCTCATACAAGACAGAAAAGGACACAGAGAAACATGGAGAAAAGACAATGTGAAAATGGAGGCAAAGATTGGAGTTATGCTGCCACAAAACAAGGAGCAACAGGAGCCATAATAAACTAGAAGAAGCAAGCACGGATTCTCCCCTAGTGCCTTTGGGACAAACATGGCTCTGCTGACACCTTGATTTTGAACTTTTGGTTTCCAAGTAAATTTCTGTTGTTATAAGCCTCCAAGTTTGTGTTAATTTGTTATGGAAATCCTAGGAAATTAATACATATTTTGGTATTTAGAAGTGGAGTGTTGCTCTAACAGACACGTAAATATTAAAAAAGTTTGAAGAGAGCATTGGTAGATTGCCTTGATGAGACTGCCATAGAAATAGACATGTTAAGGAGATTCTGGTAAAGGTTCAGAAGGTAGTAGACAGAATGGCAGAGAAAACTATCATCTTAGAGAATACATATACTGGCAAGAACAGAATGTTAAAGAAATATGAACATTAAAAGGACTCCTGGTAAAGTCTCAAGAAGGAAATGAGGGATATGTTATTCGACACTGGTGGGAAGGCAATCCCCATTATAAATTAGTAGAAAATTTGGCTGAAATGTGCTCTATTGAGTGAAAAGCAGAATGTTTAAGAATGAATTGTATATTTGGCTGGGGAGACTTCCAAAGTATTAAAGGTGTATTATAGTAAAATGTGAGAGAAAGAGAGAAGGAACTGTTAAGCAAAAAAGAAATCAGTACCAAATGACTTGGACAATTCTGAGGCTATCTAGATTACATAAGATGCTAACATCACAAATCATCAGGAAAATGCAAATCAAAACCACAATCAGATACCACTGCAAATTCACTAGGATGGCAATTATCCAAAAAACAAAAACCAACACAAGTTGCTAAGCACAGGGAGAAACTGGAACCCCTACGTACTATTACTGAACACAAAATGGTCAGCCACTCTGGAAAACACTGTGGCAGTTCCTCACAAAGTTACACTTACCATATGATCCAACAAATTCCACTCCTAGGGATACAACTGAAGAAACTGATAGCAGGGACTCTAGCAGATATTTATACACCAATGTTCTTTTCAGTATTACTCATGATAGGCAAAAGGAAACAACCCAAGTGTCTATCAAAAAAATGCATGGATAAACAAAATGTGCTATACACATACAATGAAATACTATTCAACCATAAAAAGAAATGAAGTTCTGGTGCATGATACAAGATGAATGAACTTTGAAAAACACTATGCTAAGTGAACAACATTATGCAAATGCTAATAAAGAATAATATATGATTTCACTTATATAAGGTACCTAGATATGCAAACTCATAGAGACAGGAAGTAGAATAAAAGTTACCAGAGGCTGGGCAATGGAGGAATGGGGAGTTATTGCTCAATGGGGAAAGAGTTTCTGTTTGAGATGATGACAAAGTTTCAAAAATAGTGACAATGTTTATACAACACTGTAAATATACTTAGTGGCACTGAATAGTACCCTTAGAAAAAAATAAAATAGTGAATTTTATCACAAAAAGGATTTTTAGCAATATTTATTTTTGAGAGAGAGCGAGGGGCAGAGAGAGAGACAGAGAAGCAACTCCTCATCCATTCAAGTTTTATCATGAGATTGCAGCAATTCAGTTGCATCTTCAGGCTCCACTTCTAATTCTAGTTTTCTTGCTATTTTTACCACATCCATAGTCACTTTCTGAAGGTTTGAAACCCTCAAAGTCAACCATGAAGGCTGGAATTAACTTCTTCCAAACTCTTGTTAATGTTGACATTTTAACCTCTTCCCATGAATCATTAATGTTGTTAATGTCATCTAGAATGGCAAATCCCTTCCAGAAGGCTTTCAGTTTACTTTGCCCAGATCCATCAGAGGAATCACTATCTATTGCAGTTACAGCCTTATGAAATATATTTCTTAAATAATAAGGCTTGAAAGTTGAAATTACTCCTTGATCCATGGGGTGAAGAATGGATG